TCTTTCCCTGTGTTTGTTCTACCTGCAAGAAATGTGTGAATGGTATAAAATAAAAACTTTATAGTTATTCTTCTGAACTATGACATTTCAATATTCTTTTTTAAAGTTTTTTTTTTTAATATTGATTTGAATGCAAAACCCTTTTTTGTACAAAATTATTTTATTCAAAAACTGGGTCCCCTTATTTTCTTAAAGAACAGCATTTTGTATATATGGATTATGTTTTAGCATTTTATACAGTCAACTTTGTAATGACTTTTTAAAGATTAAGTGATTTTCCTTTGGGGTTCCAGATAATATTTTATACGGATTTTGAAAAAATGTAATATTGATGCAGTATTGCAACAGGGGTGCAATTTAAGGCTGTGTGATAAGGGTTATTTACTTGGTCTGTGCAGATACTTGTGAAGTGCTTTAATTTTAAATGTGGCTCAATAGGAACTTCAGGCTTTCTTGGACAAACATTGGAAAAGTGATTCTCTGCTTTTATGACTATCAAGTCATTGGTTTGATTTCTTTTGCTACCACTGTGCGATTCTAAAAGGACTGTTATATAATTCACTGTTTTATTTTTGTTCCCCGATGAAAGAACCCTTGAATAGTTTTTGAAATTTTTCCAGCCGCCTTTAATGCGGTTGCAGATATCTGAACGAAACCAAGCTTACTCATGTTATGCCCTCACATTTTATTTTCTTCCAACTTTGAAATCAAGTTGTCTAAGTACCCATAAAAGGGAGGCTTTTCACGTGAAAAGGTTTTCAATGTAAATAAAGCCTAACACGGTCAGTTAAATTTTATCCCTGCCAAGATGTATGACCAAAAAACCTAGTTTCAAAGCAACGGAAAAAACTTTCATTGCTAGAAAGCACATGTGCTTGCCCAAGAAAGGGAGAAGAGGAGAAAGCACCTCCCATGTCACACCACAATGCCTTCTCCGTCTCTTCCTCCTGTTGGGATTTGGGGCGTGCACTCACACATACCCTGTGTGTGTTTCAGCCAACCAGGGGCCAGGATTCAAACCACAGTCAGCCAATAACCGAGACGAGATTTTTTTTTTTTGCATTCAGATTGGACCTCCAGGCCTCACTAGGGAATAGTCAATGGTCTTCTGTCCTGGCCAGGCCTGACTAGGGAATAGTCAATGGTCTTCTGTCCTGGCCACAGTCTCAAGACCATTGATACTGCAGGAAAGATTTATGACCAGTGTTCCACTTGTCTGGGGAGTCCCAGTTGCCATGATGGTAGCATCCATGGAATGCCACATTCATGCTCTAGTCCTTGTGTAGTTTCTTTTCAGAGTGAAAATCCCGATTTTGTTCAGCAGAGGCTGTTCCATTGAGAGGAATGTTTACAGCAATTTTGAAAATGACAAAGCTAGTTTGGAGACAGAAAAAGATGAAAGGTCCACTCTCATCCATATCTCTATGGTACATTTGCCTCCACTCATAGTTCCCTCGAAGGCACGAGGGAGGGTCGCCATGAATGAACACAATAGGATCTCGGCAGTGTATTGACTCACGTTCTCCCAGGGCTCCAACTGCTTTCTTTCGGTTCCAGGTTCTAGGTTCCAGCTAATTGAAGGGGAAATGGTGATTTTTGTAGGATAGGTTAAAATAGTAGTTTACAATGAATATAGGTACCTTCATACAGTTCCCCCTTATAAGCTGGTAAACAACTGCTTTGTTTATTTTTTTATTTTTCATTTTTATTTTTTTAGAGAGAGAGATTTTTGCTGTAGGGCACATGCGCTCCTCATAGAGTCAGAAAGTGACAAATAACTTCCTGGGGGGCGGGACACAACAGAATCCCTTCTTCTTCATTCTCCTCTCGGGATTTTGGCCATGCATGTAGTTGCGCCCAGTTTATTTTAAGCCTTCAGGTCCAGGACTTGAACCGTGGTTAACTACGTGGGAGTCCAGCAACATAACCATTACACCATCTGCTGGCCCCTGCTTTGGTGTTTTAATAAACATTGCAACCTGAACAAATGACCATGGATTCCAAAAGGCCCTAACCTAAAATCAGGGAATAATTTATGCTTTGGAGAATCTGACTCAAAAATATACTTGCCTAAGCACTTGATCCTTAGAGGCATGGGAAAGCACAGAGTGGGTGTGGATTTGATCAACATTTTCCTGTTAACAAGCTGGCAGCAGAGCTTCAGAAAGTGTATATGTATGCACACTTAAGCTGAATTCATTTCTGTATTATATTCTCAACTCATTAGCTAAAGCAACAGAGATGTGTTTTCAGAGATGAGTTCTTTACTATGAGGTTAATATTTATTTTTCCTTTCTGTATTATAAATAAAAGTAAATTAATCTAAAACCTTGCCCAGCTTGCTGGAAAGCTGGTCTTCAATTGTAAATATCCCTTAGAGAAGCTAAAGAATTGTCATTACCATATTCTCTGTACTCTAGCTTATGTTAAGATCCTTACTTTTTTTTTAACTGAAAACCCAGTCACCTGGCTATGATACTTTATAATTTTGTGAGTACTTTTGTAGAACCCAACTTCAGAAAATACTTCGTTCTCTCCCTTTTTCCCTTTCCTTTGTTTACCAGAAATGGCTTCCCTTGGGAGGCCAAACACTTTGACTCATATGATGGTTAAGAAGCTGATGGGCAGCTGAGAAAACTAGAAGACTGAAAAATAACCAATCTGTATTCTAAAAACCTAGCAAAATCCTGTACTCCCCCCCACCTCACTCCCAACCCCTCGCCAAAATAAGTATGTATCCAGGCTATGTACTACCGAAGAGAGTAGTGACCATTTTTTGTTCAGTGAAAATAGAATGCTACCTGTTGCATTTTTATTTACTATAAAATTATAAAATGTAACACAAGACACCAGTAGGAATGATACATCTCACAGTACCTGTCCACAACTATACCTCATGTTTTAGACAGAAAGCTTTCTAGGATGTCGAGTTATGGTACAGGGCTGGCCCTCAGTCTATGCCCAAAGATTCAGTAACCGTGGTGTGCTGGGAGTACGGGTGTGCCTCAGACGGAGCAAGCTTAGCAGGGAGCACCACATCTGCAGAGAGAAGAAAGCTCCCCTTGGCGTGGTAGAATACGGTTCCATCAAGTAGCAGGTCCTCCCGCGTCAGCACACGATAGGGTTAAAGTAGGAAGACACTGATTTCCAGACACTTTTCTAGACACATCACTTGCCTAATAGTTCATAAAATGACACTGTGTCATCTTTTGGAGTTATCAAAAATTGAAAACAGTCAAGGGGACACAAAACAAGAATTGTTTTTAAAGTATGAATACAAGTACTGGTGTTTTCTCCTGAAGTAGCATTTTCCTGTCAACCAACCATTGTTTTGTGCCATTTAGAAGAAAGAGAAAAACAAACAAAAACGTAAAGAATGCAGGCTGTGTGTCTCAGCTCTGTATATGACCCAAAGCAATATGTTTTTAGGAAAATGTTTGACATACTAATTATTTTATATCAGTTTAAGCATACCGTAGCAACTTGTTTGTTTAATATATGTGGTTAATTTTTAGAATTATTTTTATAATTTCCAACCAAATGTACTGTACTTTTATATAATTTATTGTGAGAACCTTGTCATGGAACTCATGAAGAAGACAAACTAAAGGCAAATGTTGCATTAATCTGTATTATGTTTTTCATAGACACTGTGCTAATGTGAATTTAAAATGACCTGAACAAAGTCTTCTAATCTCAGATATCTCACAGATATCTCAGTATGGATAGCAGTTTAGTTACCTGATTTGAAATAAAGCAAATATTCATAAGAAGAAAATAAGAGGAAAGAAAACCATTTAAACAAAGACCTTTCTAAAATGTTGCTTTTTGAATAGTTTTTCCTAAGGTGTTTAAAAATGTTAACTTTATGTAAGAAAAATTCTCCTGCTCCAATTAAAGTTACAGTTTAAGAAAAATTTGAGTGTGTTGTGTTTTTATTTGCTGTTCCTTCATCAAAAGGTAACAATATTGGACCAGCAGGGGTGTGGTGGTTAAGGCACTGGACTCCCACAGTTGACCATGTTTCAAGCCCTGGACCAGGTGACTTGAAACTCATGCCCGGCATGTGTACATGCATGCCCGAAGTCCCGAGGGAGAAGGAATTGCCATGTGGCCCTCCCCGTTGAAGAGTGATTTCTCGCTTTCTGTCTCTTTGTCTCTGTTTCTCTGGCAATCACACATACCCTATGACAAAAATCTAAAAAAAAGGCAGTATTTCATGGGGCCACTTGGTGGTAGGGTGCTGGACTCCCACGTAGTGGACTGAGGTTCAAATCCCGGGCCTAGTGGCTTGTTTTCTCACTTTCCCTCTCCCTCTTTCTGATGAGCACACATGCCCTATAACAAATTTTAAAATATAATAATCATAAATAAAAATTTAATAATTCTCAAAAAAATAAAAGATAGAGCCCCTGGAGCTTTGATGTTTTATAACTTCTTAACCTCTGCCATAGAGCTACTGTAAAATTGGGAGCCTACATTTAAGCCGCAGCGTGAAGAGTTTTCCTGCAATGTGGAGGGGTTTTTTGTTGTTGTTGTTGTTTTTTAGAATTCAGCTTTTAACAGGTTAGAGAACTGGGGATAATAAAAAGAAAGAAAAGGGAAAAATGGTAGGTTTGAGTAATTTCTTATTGCTGATTTCATTGTGCTTAATACCTATTTTGCATGTTTTTTAGCTTTTCATAGCACGTTCCCATTTGCAATGTAAATCATCCAATGAAGCTCATGACTTCACTAACTACATTCAGAATGCCACAGGAAATTCATTGCCATCCTTGTACTCTTTGGAAGAATTTTGTAGGAACATGATCTACAAATTAAACTTGCATGGCACTGTCTCTTTATCCTTGGGGGAGACATTTCAGGACTCCCAGTGGATCTGAGATGGAGAATAGTACTGAACCCCCACATGTTTTTTCAGTCTGATAAGCAGGTGAGACCATTAAGAGACTGACAAGAGGGTGGTTATAAAGCATACAAAGTAAAGGCTTAGGAAATGGTTACCTGGTCGTTTGAGTCATTTTTTATCCTGTTCCTTGTGGGGTCAGCAGACCACCGCGTCCTGGACTTCTTGTTAGAATACAGAAAGAGGTTAAGGTTCTGTTTGTATAATAGGTATATGAACATGTCTACAACTCATGAGAAAGCAAAACTCCTTAACACTAGAAAACAAAGCATAGAATTTCAGTAATGGAAAGCAAATGCAGAGACCAGAGACAGGGTGGGAGGAGGATTCAGAAACAGATATATACACACACACACACATACATACAAGAAACAAGAAATGGAAAATTATTTGTTGATGATAACATGTATGATTAAGCCACTTTAAGTGTATTCTGGCTGGAAAGTTGGATTTTGTATGCTGTGGTGACATTCAGTGAAAGTATGTAAAATAAATAAATTAATAAAAATTTTTAAGAAAAGAATACAGTTATTGAATAGAAACTGTTGTCCTTAGCTACAGTCACTTTGAGTCTCAGGGCAGCCAGCTTGTGACTGTGAAAACTTAGCCGCTGTGACTCCATCTTGGGCCTTTACTTTGTATGCTCAATATCCCTATCTCCTGTGTTATTGTAAGGAGTTATAAATTTTTTAGAGACATGTAAAAGGGGTATTTATTGTACACTAACCGGACCATAGAGGAAAAACACAGACTTCATTAAAAAGACAAACAGGGCCAGTAGGTGGTGTGGTTAAGGGCACTGGACTATCACATGGCTAAATGGGTAGAGTCCTGGACCTGGTGGCTAGCTTTCTCAATCCCCCTCTCCCCCATCTGATCAAAGTAAATAAATAAAATAATTCATTTAAAAATTAAAAAAAAAAAAGATAAACATAGTTGGGGCGCCAGCAGGTGGCATAGTGGTTGTGGTGCTTGATTCCCACATGGCTGACGGTGGTTTGAGTCTCAACCTGGTGGCTTGCTTTCTCACTCCTCACCACCCCGTCCCTTCCTGGTGAATTAAAAATAACAATAACAATAAATAAAATTAAATAATTTTTAAAAAGGAAAAGAAAAAACATCATTACCCTTTTTCTTGTAGTGGGGTCTAACTCCTACTCACTAGGACGGTACCATATTTTATAAAGTTTGTCATATCAAAATGCCATTTTGGAAAGTTCTACTTGGGTGAACTGTAACAGTCACAACTAAGGAAATGTAGATAAGTGCCTTCTCAGCAAAGCTGAATGGTAGTTCTTACACTACGTATCTAGTTCAATTAAAGTGAGTCCTCACACAAAGATGCATTGGAAAAAAGGGATAAAGAATCATTACTTTTAGCAGAGTTGGGAAATATGGCTTCCTACTCACATCAATCTCTGTTAGGTGAGAATTGCAGAGATGCAACTGGACCTATACTAGTCTTCTTTTCTGACACGTAAGCTGCCCAGCTGTCCTTGACTCACAAACTTCCTACTCCACATACGTTCTCTGTGAGCTCAGCCGTTTGACTCTTCTCAGTCCTCTCCTCTGAGTGCTCACTGGCACATGCCACGGTTCTGTGGACATTTGTAATTGAAGGGCTATAGGAAGGAAACACAAATCAACTGATTTTGTCCAAACTTAGTCTTCCTCCTCCATCCTTCATGGAGCTAGAAAACAAAGCAGTGTTCATCCATCACTCATTTATTCATCTACTAAGCAAATATTCTGTGAATGCCTACTCTATACTAAGCAGAATACACAAAAGAACGGACAAAAATATATTTTTTCATTGCTAAAAGGCATACTTCTTATTGAAAGAATTATGCCCATTAGTAGGCTGTGAACATATATTTTGACTGTAGTTATATATTGATACAATATTTTATAAGTATAGGATAATAGTGAAAACAAAAGGTAACATAATGGTCTAACAAGATTTTTTTTAGCTGAAAGTATAAAACAAACAAATTTTTAAAATTCCAGTCTTTAAAAAAAGTATCAATATACATTTAAGTTGGGTGACTTTTATAGTATATAAATTATGTCACAGTAAAGCTGTTTTTCTTTTCTTTTTTGTTTTTTTAAAACATTCTATTTTAATCTGCTTATTCTTCCAAAGTTAATTTAAGTATAATTTTTATAGTTTTTAAACTTACATTTAATCACTGCACATCTTCACAGTATCCACATGGCTTTTCCCAACATACATACGGTGTGTATTACCCAAGTCACGTACATTTCCATGCACATTATCATAAACAGATAACTCATTTTTGTGTCTGTTCTTTGTTTTTTCCCCTGGTCCCCTCTACACCAAAGGACAATAATGTTTAACCTCCTGTAAATGAATCTTCTAGTAAATGTACAGATATATTTAAAAATGTGTTTAATGTCAATTAATGTTATAAAAACAGAACAGAAAAGGAGGGTGGAAAAAGAAGTGTTTGTGTGGGGAGGGGGCATCATTCTAGACTTTTCTTATTTCTCTTTTCCCATTCAAAAGGAGTGGGAAAAACGAAAAGAAAGGCAGACTGCCACATCGTAATTAAATTGTGAAATATTTTTAAAAACTAAAAAAAAGGGGAGGGAAAAACGAAAAGAAAGGCAGACTGCCACATGCAGCGCCTCATTTGGATGTGTCTGGAGTCTTGGAAGCTTGACTACCCTACGTTCTCCTACAATGGACCTTGAGAGCTTGTTTGGAGGTTCTAGCAGGGGAGCGCAGCTACTCGTATACCCTTGACCGAAGAACGGTCCTCCTCTATCGGGGATGGTCGTCCTCTTCGACCGAGCGCGCAGCTTCGGGAGGGACGCACATGGAGCGGTGAGGGAGGAAGGGGACACCCGCCTAGCCAGCCAGATCAGCCGAATCAACCCTGGCGATCAATGGGGTGACAGATGTCGCAGCCAGATCGCCCTCACATCCGACATTCCACAACATTTGGGGTGTATATAAACCCTGATAGAAATGTAACTTTACACATAGGTTGAGCGAATTACCCATGCTGGATTACTAGCAGAACATTTTTAACTAAATCAAGTTTAACTAGCATGATAAGCATAATTTCATCCTGAAAATGTTATATTTAAATCAAAACTGACTTAAATTTCGCCTATTTTACATTATCCACAATGCCTTGCAAATGGGTGGGGCATGCTAAATACCATCATCTCTATTGGTGAGACCTTCCGGGAGCCTCGCCCATTTGCAGCGCCTTCTCCCCGCCCACGCTCCCAGCCTATCTGTGGGCCTCAGGCCCCAGGCTTTGTGCGGATCCAGGCGCTCCGAGCGGACGCCAGGTCTGTCTCCCTCCTGCCGCTTCCACCCACCTTTTCTCGTCTTCTCGTTTTTTCGCCTCTCTCCTCTCCGAACCTTTTATTCTTTCCCTCCTACCTACCTCTCCCCGCTCACTCCTATGGTCTGATTGCCTCCTGCCCCTTGCGCCCCCGCCCCCGTCTGGACAGACGTGGGCTACTTGGCAGGGTTGGGGCCGTTCTTGGCTCAGTGTGCGTGTTTTTCTTAACTCCTGCGGAGTCGGAGCTATTGGTGGAGGGTATACTCGGGGTGACTCTGGGCTTCTGGGCAGCATCTTCGGCCCTGCGCTGTCTGAGCTAGCGGCCGCCGAGTACCTGAAAATAGTCTCCCAGGGCCGAACCTAGGGGGCGCATTTTGCTAGGCTGAGGGCTCTTCTGCCGGCGGGGGTTGGAGGTGGAGGACTTGTGGGACCCTAGGCAGCCACTGCAGGCGTGAAGGACATTTTGCAGACAATAGCAATAAATAATGCTCGGCCTGTCCACTTCCCAGTTGTGATACACTCTGAGGGTGCATGTTGGAATTCTTGCAGAGGTGCCCATGGCCTGGCCGTTTTCCTTCGGGGCATTCTGAGTCTTGCCTCTCCGAGTTGAATTTGGAAAGTCTAAAATTCTCAAGGTCAGAGTATATGACGTTCTGAGTCTCTGAAATATTCTACTAGTAGTGCATGTCTTTACCACAGATGGCCCCAGTTTCTCAGGATCAAGATCCAGAATACGAAATCATAAATAGAAACGGTTATGAAAGCCCAGGATGGTTTTCGTTTCATGTGATAAAATGGTGGTCCGTTTTCACTGAAGGAAAAATGCAAGAATCAAAACAAAAAACAGCTTCATGTACTTACAATCCCAAGTATTCATTTAGCCCCTGAACCCTTGGGACATTTCTCAAACAAGAGATTAGGACTGTCATGTACGAGGAGCTATTGCATTTGTTTTTCAGAAAGCCTGGAAGGCCATCATGTCCTCGAGGCCCAAACTCCATTATCCGAACGGAAGAGGCAGAATGGAATCTGTTAGATGGCTTCTGGCTGCTGCTGGAGTCGAGGTACCCTGTACACTGTGTCTTCGCAGATTTGTCGTACAGTCTGCACCTTTGAGGGA